GGGCTTGGAGGAGGGCTTCTGGAAGGAGGCAGCCTGGAAGCACGCATGTAGGAAATGAGAAGTTTGTAATACTGCATGAGACAGAAGTTTGGATTAAATGGTTGATACTCCAGGGCCCTGCCTTTGCCAGAAGGCTTCCCTCTGCCCCTCGTGTGCTCACTCCATTCTGCCTCCCTCATCCTGAGGCTTCCTTGGTCACCCTGTCACCTGTGTCCTCTGCTGCTGTCCCCTATAGCCAAGTGAGCTCAGTGAAGGCACGTCCTGGGGCCTGGGGGCTTTTCTTTTTCTCTCCCGGAGCCCACCTAAGCTCCACTTCTTGACAGGAATTGTAATTGTTTATCCTCCCCCCTCCCCCTCCCCCTGCCCAATACAAATGTCAAGAGAGTGTAGTGTGCACTGGATGGGACCATGGACCTGGGTCATAGGGCCTGAGTGCAGGTCCCAACTCTGTCTCTCATTAACTGCGCTGTCGCAGGTGAGCTACTGATTCTTTCTGGGCCACAGGGTCTAACAGTGTAAGGATAGGGAGCCCTTCCTGCCTGTGAGGTGTGAGCACCATAATTGTTATAAAATGCTTCCTGGGGCCTGGCACTCAGTAAGGGCCTGACGTTAGCCGTCAGTAAGACAGAAGAACAGGAAAAGAAGAGTCTGAACCTCTGTATCCCATGTTGCAGGGAGCCCTTAGAGGAGAATTCTAGGGTGACTGGCTTCCTCTGCTCCCCGGCTCATGTCTCAGAGTCCTGACTGCCAACGTGCCTCTCCCCAGGCCCTGTGGACAGCAGGGATTGGACTTGGTTCCCCTGGGCTCCCGGGGCCTGGCCATAGGACACCAAACTGGGTTTCTGAGGGTCCAGGTCCAGGATGGGTCCCAGGGTGGGATGCAGTGGGGAAGGCATTCAGTGGGACTGTCAGTCATGAATCACATTCACGACATCCAGCAAAGCCTGGAGGGAAAACCAAGCTGGACCCCAAACAACACTTTCAGAAATGACCTGTTGAGAAAGTCAGAGAAGCCTTATTAATGTGGAAAGTGGGGAACAAGGGCCCTCAAGGGGAGAGGCTGGACGTGTCGCTTCAACACCACCACCACCAACCCCATCAGTAATAACTGTATGCCAGCACCACAACCAAAGCCTTATGTGTTATCTCCTTTGATCCTTTAAACAACTGTGTGAAGTGATCGTTATTCCCTTATATGGAAGAGGAAACGGGCTCACAGTCGTTAATTGTCTCTTGTCCAAGGCAACTCAGTAGTGGAGCCAGAACTCAGACCCTTGCTCTCAGAGACCACACTGAAGCCTCCTGTGGATGCCAGAGCCAAGTAACTGGCCCAGGAGATGGGGGGTTCGCTGGGCATAAACCACCCTTCCTCACGTTTCCCACGCTGGCTCTCCTGTGATTGAGGCCTGCTGCTCTCTGCTGAGATCTCATGGGGAGCAACATGCTCGGGCATGTGGACAACACAGAGTCCCCTCCAGGGTCTGGGCTCCCTGGGCAGTGCCCCTTCCAAGACAGATCTTCCAGCTGTGATTTCTTCACCCTTCTAGATGACTCTGCCAGCTGTATTCCAGGACGCCATGGCTCAGGGTGTGGCTGCAGCCTGGCTGGGGCCATAAAGCTCCGGGAGGTAACTCATGTCCTCAATGACCAGGCACTCTGGAGCTTGTGCACTTGGCTTTGGTGCCCCGGGGTGTCTGCAAACAAGCCTCTTGCCCTCCTGTTTCTAATTCATAACCTCTCTGAACCTGCAGCTGTCCTTGGGGGCTTTTAGGACCAAGTAAGAACAAACCTGCTTTCCAGTGTCCTGGGGTTAGTCCTGTGTGGCCAGCAGAAATCACTTATCTCTTCAAGGTCAAACTCAGCCTTCTGCCCACCATGTTGCCTGTGGTTCTTGGCATGAGGTCGCCCAGTGCGGAAGGTGGGGTGGTCACTCACTGGGGTTGGATCCACTCCACCCCTTCCTGCTCTGGACCTTGGGCAAATGGCATGAGCTCAGGGACTTCATCAGGGAAATGGGATAATGAGAACTCATCCGCATAGGGCTGTCGTGCAGGTAGAGGGGCCGATCAACGAGGAGTGTATGCTTACCACTGGGCCCCGGGCCCCAAAAGGGCTCGATAAATGATAGTGCTTGCCCCTCAAGACAGAGACAGAGCCACCTCTCCAGACCAGCATTACCAGAGCATCCTGTTAAAACGTTAAAGCAGGACTCTCATTTTTTTTTCTTATTCACAGCACCCTGTTCTCTTTCTTCCAAAGCACTCAGCTCAGTTTGTAATTATACACATTTCTGTTTACTTGTCCACGAGAGCAGGACTGTCTGTTTTCCAGCACTCAATCCCTAGCACCAAGGGCGGGATCACAGTAAATGTGGCATCAGTGAATGACACCCCCTCCCCAATCTTCTTCAGGCAGAGCAGGACTAGGGCTTTCTGCCTTTTGCCAGAGGGTTGGGCTTCCAGAACCCCATGTATTTCTCATCCTCCCTTCAGAGATGATTCTGTAGCTAGTGCAGTTGGGAAGGGCTGGGTAGTATCCATAGCCACAGAACAGCTGGGCGGAGCCTGAGACAGGGTCTTCCACTCACCTTGTTGGCCATGGTCCTTGCTGGATGATGAGGTCATTCTGGGATTGCTTCTGCCCTGCCAGCCATCTGCTGCTGTTTGGTCTGTGGCCCCAAAGCCACACCGAGTCTCTACCAGAGCCTCTCATTGGTCACCTGAGGTGGGCCCTGAGTTTCAGGAGAGGCCTCTCTGCCTCCCTTTTTCCTCCAGTCCCATCTCCTAGGTCTCTCCTGCCTTCTGCCCTCAAGATAGACCAGGGCCCCCTGGCCTTGGCAGATGTGTGAGGCTGGGGGAGGCCCTCTGAGTCCAGATGTGATTATGTTTATGTTTCCAGAGAACGAGGGGTCGTAGCTCTGGACTGGAGCCGTTGGGGGAGGGGTGGTCTGGCTCCAGCCCCCTGCCCCAGCCTTCCCTCCCCCCACCTCCCTTTTCTAGCCTGTGTATCTGGCCGTGTCCTTCTCAGAACTCCACCATGCAAGTCTGACAGCATCAGCCTGGGCCATCCTCTACTTCTTCCTCACTCCTAGGTCTTTCTCACTCCTCATCGAAATGTGGGAAGACCAGAGGAAAGGTGCTTCAGAATCTACAGACTGTTGACTCCCTGTGGTCTCGGGCCAGTTGCACAGCATGGTGAAGTCTTGGTGCCATCATCTGTATAACAGGGACAACACTCCTGACCTCAGAGGCAGGGCTGACCTGGTTTGTGAATGTGTGCACAGGGCTCTCCAGCTATTACCTCACCATCAAGCCAGTGGCTGTGCCCCACTCTCATCTAGGGCTTGCCTGGGTCCAGCTCCAGGGCAGCGCCAATCCCAGTCACAAGGTGATTCTGAAGCAGAGTACCAGCCCCTCCTCCCTCCCCCGCTGCAGCTGCAAACATTTTGTTTTGCCATTGCAAGTGACTTACTTAAGGGAAGCAGAATTTTACAGGCAGTTTACAGGCTGGTCTTGTTCAGTAGTTTCCAAAGCTTGGGGAGGGTGGAAGCGCCCGCAGCTTCCTTCCAATAAGCTGGGTTGGAAGGGAAGTGAGAAGTTAATTCTGTGCGATGGTCACTTTCTCCAGCACAGCCCTGCCGGATGCCCCTGAGTGTCATTTCAGAAGGGAAAGGCGGAGGGAGGCCTGGCGAGACACTGGCCGATCCTGCACCCCTATTCTCCTGGAGCAGTTAGGGCAGGGCTCCAAGGCGGGGGGACTGAGTCCACGGGAGAAAAGGCAAACCCGGGACTAAAGGGGCTCTCAGTGGCCCTCACCCCAACTCTCCCGGTGGACAAGGGCCACGCAGCACCCTGAGGGCTTTGAGGGTCCCCTAGACATAGCTCGGGAAGCGCCTGCAGAGCGGGGCAGTCGGAGAGGTGCGGGTGCTGGCCAGGGCGGCCGAGCACAGCTCTGAGGCTGAGCGGCCCAGCGGGCGAGCGCCTGGTGCGCGCGGCCCGGAGCCCGGAGCGCCGAACGGCGCCCTCGCGGGGAAGCCAGGCTGAGCAGGTCGGGAAGGGCGGTGGGAAGAGAGGGCAGCCCCCTCGCCACTGAAGGACTGCTGCCGCAGCTCCTCTCTTTAACCCTCCGGACCCGTGGTGGCGGCGTTCCCTTTCCGCCCGCCTCCCTCCGCAGTCGAATGAAGCAGTCGGGGCTCCGCAGTGGTTAGCACGCTTGTACTATGGTTTTAATAGACGTACATGGACAAGTCGATATAGACAGATTTATAATTCTATACAGTCAGTCCGACATACACAGGGACGCTGTAAACAGGGGCGCGGACCGGAGAGCGGGTGTGCAAAGTAGGCGCGGCGCGGGGACCCTGGCCGCGCCCGAGCTCTCCCGGCTCGACTCTTGCACGGCGGGCGGTGAGGAGGGGGCTCTTCGCCGGCCCCAGGGAGCCAGCGCCTAGCCCGGGAGCGGAGCGGAGTACCTGGGCCTGCAGCGAAGGTCGGGGGCCGGGGCGCTCGGAGACGAGCCCACCCCGTTCTCCTGCCACGTCCGCACCGCCAGCTGCGTCGTCTCCTTAGCCTTAAAAGAGGACTCCGGAGCTCTGGGCGGCCGACGGCTCTTCCGGGCGCGCCGAGGCCGCGTGCGGCTGCACAGCGAGTCCCCGATCCCAGGCTGGGCACCGTCATCCCGGACCCCACGCCCGCTCCCATTCGGATCCGAATCGAGCTAAGGTACGCTCGGCCGGGCCCAGCTTGGAGGGGGCGCCTCGGTTCGTCCGGGGCCGGGGCCATCTCCGCCCGGGCTCCGCGCGTCCAGTTCGCAGGCGCGGCCGCTGCTTCCGGGTCCAGCGCGGCGGGAACGCGGGGCTGCGAGGGCGTCCTCCCCGGACCGCCCGCCTCCCGCGCTGCGGCCCCTCCGCGCAACGGCCCGCCGGGGCCCGAGGGAGCGAACACACACCGCCCGCGCCATCCCGAGGGAAATTGCAACTCATCCGTTTTTTTTGTTTTTTGTTTTTTTCGCAGCACTTTTTCTCCGACGTCTTTTTGTTTTGTTTCGTCTCGTTTGGGAGGGCAGAGTGGGGTCCGGAAAAGCAAACACACAACCAGCCCGGAGGTGGGGAGGTGGGGAGGAGGGGGCCGCGCGGGCGCGCGGGCCGCGGCGTGGCGAGGTCCTCCGCGCCGCCCCCGGGCCCCCGCCCCGGCGCCGCGCCGGCCGGCCGCGGGCCCGCGGGGCCTGGCGGGGGCGGTCAGCTGTTGTACTGACACGCGTTGAGGCCCGAGGCCGGGCCCTGCAGCCCGCCGTAGCCGAACGACGAGTGCTGCTTGGACTTGAGCCGCAGGCTGGCCAGGCTCGAGTTGCACGTGTCCCGGTAGACGCTGTAGGGCGAGGCGGGCGTGCCGTACGGGCAGGCGCCCGGTGACATGGCCGAGTTAAGCGAGGAGCCGGTGAGGTTGTTGATGTTGTTGAGGCCCGAGTTGGGCATGCCGGGCACGGCGCCCGGGCCCATGCTCGACGGCATGGTCATGGAGGAGATGGAGCTGGGCGCCGAGAACATGGACTGCGACGACAGCGGGCTCATGGAGTTGAAGAAGGTGAAGCTCTTGGTGGAGAGCGGCGCTGGCGCCAGGCTCTTGGCGGCCCAGTTGTTGTAGGAGTAGCCGGCGGCGTACACGTCCTCGTAGGGCTGCACCAGGCCGCTGAACTGCGGCACGTAGCCGCCCTTACACAGGTCCAGCTGCTGGTTACGCTCGCGCTTCCGCCACTTGGCTCGCCGGTTCTTGAACCAGACCTGGGGGAGGGGGCAAGAGAAGGGTCAGGGCGGCCGAGCGCGGGAAGGTCCCTCCACCTCCACTCCCTCCTCTCCCCCCACCCCCAGCCCTCCGCCCCGCTTCCTTCTCTCCGAATTTCGTCTCTTTTCTTCGATATTTCCGCCCCTGCAGCCTCTCCTTAATGGTTCCTTTCCTGTCCCCAGAAAACATTCATCTCCCTTTTCTGACCTAGATCCTCTCCCCTGGAGTCAAATCTATTTTCGCCCCCTAATACCGCGCGATCCTTTTTTGTTTTTAGCAAGTATTCGTTTGCTTTCTTCCTGTCTCAACCAGCCCATCTCGGGCCTTCTCCCCCAGACGGGTCTGGTCTGTCTCCTAAATAGTCCATTCGTTTTCTTCTCCCTCGGATACAAAAGGTATTTCTGTTCCCTGAAATATAGGCTCTTCCGACTCCCTTCATTCTGCATTCTGTTTTTCACTCCTCAAACAATCTGTTTCCATCTTTATCGAGAATGTTTGATATGCTCATTTCTTCCCCAAACGTTTATTTTCATTTGGTTCACACCGCTATCTGAACTACTTTTTTCCCCTCAGTCCATGTTGTCCGTTTTCCCTCATTTTTGATCCTTTTGATTCTTCCTCAAACATTTAAGTTTTTCCCCCCATCTTTCCAAATATCTGACTGTCACTGTTTCTTAAATATTGATCCTTTATTTTTCTCAAACATTTGATCCTTTTGCCTTCCCTTAAATATTTAATTTCTTTCCTGTCGCCTAAATATATGCCAAATATGTTTCTCTGCAAATATTTAATTTCCGTTCACTTCTCACTAGTTTCTCTCTAATCTCCCCACCACTTTCTCCCACAAAATTTAGTAAGAACCTCTTCTTTCCCAACTCTTGCTCCTTGCCCATCCTCACCTACCCTCCCACCGAATGACCTCTCCCTTCCTCAGCCCTCCTCCAACACTGGGCTAAGTTTTCTGAGCGCGGCTGCAGGTCCCCTGCACCTCAGCCTTTTCCAGTCCCCGGCACTGACATTGCCTGATTCCACCCCCACACCACCCCTGCCACCATAAACCCAGGCAGGATTAGTGAGTTCAGGATTACTGAGTGCTGTCTTCACTCTCGTCCCACCGGGCTGGCCAGCCTGATGGGAGGGGTGAGAGCTTGGGTTATAGCAGGGAGTCAGTAGGCCAGGTAGCACTCTGGGCTGGCTTGGGACTTGCTCACAATATCTGAGTAAATAGTTGCGCACTCCGAGAAGAAATGATTCTCTCGCTGCTCCAGTACAAGCAAGAGAACGTCTCTTCTCTTGCTTGTACTGGGAACCAAAGGTGAGGAGAGGGAGTGTGCAGCCTGGTCATAGGTCAGAGATCTTACATCTCCAAAGGGACTCGGCCTGAGGGTCCCTCTGCCACTAGAGCTGCTCCTCCTTCACAGGAAAGGGCATCAGGGAAAGGGGCCAGCTCCACACTGGCTGAATGGCTGTAGAGCAGTCAGGTGGGGACTATCCTGAGATTCTAGAGAAGCAGGCCGTGGTTGGGATCGCCGCCCCCAGGAAGTTTGAAATCCCCAAGCATAGGTACCCTTCAGGCCTCTCCCAGGTTGCCAGGCAAGACCTGCCTTTCCCTTTCGTTTTCAGGGGCAGGCGGCAGCAGCTCCCGAGGTCCCTATCGGCGGGGAATCCTCTGCGCGTCTAGGGTGGTAACGTCCCATTGGGCCCTGGGCGCTGCAGGGCAGGGGAAAGCCCCCTGGGGCCACGGATCTTGGGATGAGGCTGCAGGACAGCCCCAGGGTCAGGTAGAACACGAGGCCACAGCAGCCGAGGGTCCCTAACCACCAACAGGCTTAGCAGCGGCGGGGCCTAAGGTGGAATCATCTCCGGTGGAGGGAGGGAGCAGGTCTGAGTGGTGCCAAAAAGACAAAGTCTGAGCGCGGGTCCAAAGCTTTTCGAGGGCAGTGGACTGCGGCAGGGGTAGCCAGCAGCCCTCCTCGCGGGTCCCCTCAGGCGCGCACCCTGCGCTCACCCTCACGCGCGGCTCGGTGAGGTTGGTCCACACCGCGATCTCCTCCCGCATGCTCATGTCGGGGTAGCGGTTCCTCTGGAACGTGGCCTCCAGCTCCTGCAACTGCTGGCTTGTGAAGTGCGTGCGCTGCCGCCGCTGCTTCTTTTTCTTGGCCGGGTCTTCCGCACCGCCGCAGCCTGCGCCTCCCGCGCCGCTGTCCTCCGGGCCCTTGACTTCCCCGCTGCGCTCCTTCTCTGAATCGGGCGAGACAGGCCCCAGTCACCTTGGGCTTCTGCCCTTTTGCACCCAGTCCCGGCTCCACCGAAGCGCCTGCCATCAGCGCGGGCGGCCCTCCCTCCCGCCAAGAGCCCTAGGGTTGTCCCTCTTGGGCTTTCCCTCTTGGAAAGAGCCCGCCGGGTGCCCGATCGTCGGGTGTCACCTTTGGTCAGCCGTGCCCCAGAGAAGAGCCCGGGGAACGGGAGGGACAGGCCTAGGTGCCTGCCGGGCTGGGCCTGCTCTTGCGGCCGGGCTCCGGCTCAAGCCTCACTGCCTGTGTCACCCGCAAATGTATGACACTTTGAGGGCTCTTCGGCGTCTAAATCTGGGGGTCTCTGCTTTTCTGAACTAGGATCAAATCTTTCTAGCCCAGAGCTAGTGGGTCCGCGGAGCACGAGCTAGGCTGTGGCCTGCAGCCCCTCCACTTTCTTCTCCCCAGGGCTGTGTGGGAGCCACACCGGGCAGGCACAACACAGCTGTGTTCTCGGCCTTCGCTCCAGGCCTCAGGTCCCAAGGCCCAGAAAATCCCTCAGGCGGCAGCCCGGACCGGCAGACTGTCTAGGTGACCGGGCGCGCTAGCCTCTCTGCCTTTCCAGCTACACAAAACCCATTCAGTCATAGACGCATTGAAACAAACAAACAAACAAAAATTAAAAACAAAACAGAAGCCCAGATAAAATCAGTTCTGTGCCTAACACCATAGAAAGGGTCACAAACTCTTAAAAATAGGCAGATAGGGACACAGAGCAAATGCAAATTAAGAAGCCAAATACCTCCGTGCAAACACACCCTTAACTAAATACAGTGCTCCATGTGTATAAACTCCAGGCAGACACAGGCATTTATTTCTCTGGGATTAAAAAAAAAAACCCCAACAACTTAATGTACGGTCGTAGATAGATTTTTTTTTAACTTCTTCCCAGTAATGCCCTTCTAGTGATGATTTTTAAATCCCAGGGAAATACAACACTATAGTTAGGTAAGTGAAATTACCAAAATAACGCCACTGCAAATGGATTTTGAAAAAAATCCCGCAGAAACGCGCCATTTTGGATTGACTTTAAAAAAATCTCCCCAGGAATAATGGTGCATGCAGCTATTTTAAATTCCAGAGAAATATGCCTAGTGTAGTCATTCTTTCTATACTGAAAAATACAGTGAAAATGTTAAAAATACCCACAAAGAGTTGGTTTTAAAAAGCAATCTATGTTTCTCTGGGTTTTAAAAGTAAAAACCAACCAAAGGCCACGCTTAAAACTTTTGAAAACAAAAGTACAATCCAGCGTTGATTGTTTTTAAGTCAAGCAAACAGAACCTCTCAGAGAAAGTCACTTAGGGATGCGAAACAGAAATAAATAGAGATTAAAAACGCGTAGAGAAACACTCAGCGGTGGATTAAGAAATGAACACAGCAGAGGCGCCCACGGCCCGGGGAGCAGGGAGCTCTGCGGCAGCGCCGAGTTAGGACGCGGAGCCCGGGAGCCAAAAGGAGACCCCGGAGGCCGGGACCGGCCGAGGATTAGTCGCGCCACTGCCCGCACCGCCCACCCGCCGGCCCGGCTCGCGGCCAGCCAGGGTGGGGGTGTGGGGGGAAAGCTTGAGCTCGGACAAAAAGGCAGCTCGGAGGGCAACTCGCCGGAGCCGAGTCAGGGCCCTGGCTGGGCGGCCTGGCGGCTGCCGCGTCCCGCGGCCCACGTGGGGCCCGGCTCCCTCGATTAGGGGGTCTTACCCCGAGCCGGGCCAAGTCCCTCTGCCCGCTCGCCCTCGCTGTCCTGTGTCTTCTTTTTGCTTCAAGTTGTTCCCCCCACCCGAGTTTGTTTTCCTGATTTCCCCCGCCATCCCTTCTCTTCAATTTCTCCCTCTCGATCTGTCGCCCACTGCCTGTCGGGGTGTCCGTCTGCCCCATCTGTCTCTCTGGGCACTTTCTGTCGCCCGCCGCCCCGTTCCATTCTCAAGGGATTCCTCTCCTGCGGCCTCAGAGGACCCTGGGCGCCCAGTTGCGCAAACCGATCCCCCCCTCTCCCCGTTCTGTTTGCTTCTGATCCAGAGGGGCTGTCAGTCCGACCTTCCCTCCCGTTGTAGGTTAGTGCATCTGCCTGTCTTTTGGCGCGTGGGGGCCGGGTGGAAGTAAAGCACTGAATTTCGATGTATAAAGCGTGTAAATTTCCGCGTACACCCTCCGATCGAGAACGGGAAAAGAAAAAGTCCTGGCGCTCCCGGGGCGTAGAGGGAGACTGACGGCGCGGCGCGGGGGCCGGGCCCTTGCTGCCCGCTCCGTGCGCCCGGCTCGGCTCCGTGCGCGCCTCGCGGGGAGCCGCGCTTACCTGGCAGCTCCGTGTCGGACGACTCGCTGGCAGAGTTCTCGAGCGGCTCGCGGGGGTCGGCGGCGCGGGCCAGGTGGAAGGCAGGCCCCATGTCGTGCGGCGGCGGCGGCGGCCGGAGTCCCTCCGGCAGCCGCTCCAGGCTCATGCCCCCCTTGAAGGCGTCCATGGAGGCGGGGACCGCGGCGGGCGCTCCAGGGGCCGGGGCCGGGGCTGGGCGCGCCCGGCCGCCCTGGCTGCGACCTGCGGGGACAAGAGCACAGCGCCTAAGCGGCTGCCCCGCGGGGCTGCCTGCGCCCGCAACGACGCCGCGCCCGCCCCATGGACTGCCCGGGGCTGCGGGGCCAGGCGGGCGGCAGCGGCAGCGGTTTCTCGCGACCGGATACCCGGCTTCGCGCTCCGCGCTGCGCTCCCGCCGCTCGGGCCTCAGCCGCCCGCCCGGCCCCGGCTCCGGCTCCCGATCCGGGGCCGGTTTCTAAGGCTCCGGACGGCGCCGGCAGAGGCTGTCTTAAAGCGACAGCGCGCACCGCCAGGTTCCAGCAGTCCCTGCGCCAGGGGTGGTGGGTGGGGTGGGCCTGGGTGGGAGGGGGCTGGGGAGGGAGGGAGCCGGCGAGCGAGGGAGCGCGGGCGGAATCCAGCCCCGAGCCGCCCGCCCTCCCCCGCCCGTGCCCTCCCCCTCCGCAGCCACCTTCCCGCCGCTTCCCCGCCCCCTCCCCCCCGCGGCCTCGCCGCGCCGCTCCCTCCTTCTCCGTTGACGCACCGACTTCTCCCTCGGCCGCACAAAAGAAACGCATCTGGCCTCCAAGTCCCGCGCGGCTCGTGCCCACCTCAAGCCCCAAATGACTTGTTTTGTTCAGAAGCAACTCCTGTCTGGGCCGCCTCGAAGTCCCCAGCCCCCGGCGAGAACAGCCCAGGATGAGAGAATGTTCGCGGAGCAGGATCGCACGGAGCGGGCGCCTCCGAGCCAGCGCCAGGGCGGGGGCAGAGCCCGGGGCCCGTCCCGGCAAGCTCCCAGCGGCGTCCTCGTCGAGGGGCCGCCCGCCCCTCCTTCTTCGGCCTCTTCTCCCGGGACCCGAGCCCGGCTGAGTGACAGCAGCCTGAGTTCTAATGGGCCCCCGGATGCTGCCTCCTAATTAGCTTGGACCCTGTCCTCCAAGGCTGCTTCTCAGGCCTCCCCCTCTGCACCGCAGTCAATTTTCCGGGATTGGGATAGAACTGATGGCTTCTAATCAGACGAAACGTTTCTGTTGGCTCCAGGCCTCTGGCGAGTGCAGCAGGAGACCCCGAGAGCCCCGCCAGGCCCCACAGCCTCTCCTGTGGGGCTCTCTCCCCTTGTTCTGCGCCAGTCCGGCCAAATCAGCCAGGCCCAAGCCTTGGCAGCCAGGGGGTTGGCTTCTGCCCCCTTCAGGGCAGGTTTGCAGCGATCTGCAGCCTCTGCACTGGCTTCCCAGAGCTGCAGACACCTGGCCAGGCCAGGTGCCTGCCGTTTCCCAACCCTGGGTCGGCAGTCCCGGAAGCCTGCCGCCTCTGAGCTTCTCTCTCATACGATGGTAGCTAAGCTGCAGAGCCACTGGGGCCTGCATGGGTGCAGGCAAAGACTTTCCCCTCCCCAGGCCGAAGAATGATCCCTTCCTACCTACTTCAGTGAAGTTTGTTGAAGGATTTCGCTCAGCAATTGTTAACCGGACCTGAGACCTCAGGCAAATAGATGGCACATGGGGTGGTAGGGTGCGACCCTGACCTGTCCCTGGGGCCAGAGCTGGGCCCCATGCTGTCCTCCGCCCCTCCCCTGCCTACCAGCTCTCAGATGGGAGCAGCGCTGGGCAGGACAGCACCTGGAGGAGAAGTACTGCCCTACACTCCAGACCCAGCGCCTCCCCCCAGGGCCTGGTGCACCTCCCCCATCTCTTCCTGGGAGTCTCTGCTTGGGACCGCGCAGGCGGAGGATCTTGGATGTTCTGCAGGCTCTGCCTTCCTCCCCTCGCTCTGGCTCCTCATCAGGAGACCCACAGCCTCGGGCTGAGTTCTTTGGTTGGGATTGCAGGGATGCGGTGGGGCAGCGCAGAATCAGGCCTGCCTCTCACTCTCTCAGTGTTAGCTCCAGCCCCCCCCCCACCCCCCACTTCCCGCTCTGGGCACTGGGAGAAGGCAGAGCCCCTTGGCGTCTGGCACACTCTCGCTGGGTGCTCACGAGTACAGGAGCAGGGGCTGCGGCAGAGGCCAGAGGGAGGATGTATCCCAGGGGTTTGGGGTGCAGAGGCTCGGCGACTCCTGTCCTTTCCTCCCAAAGGGGAGTTTCTCTAAGTTGAGCCCCCCAGGATGAAAATAGTCTTGGGTGTGTGTCAGGGGAGGGTGGCAGGAGGGGGACATGGGAAGTAAGGTTGCCCGACATTTGCCCTCAGCCTCAACTTTGACCATATTTCTTGGCTGAGTCTCCTGCAGCAGCAGATACCTCTTTTCAAGGACAGTGCGTCCCAGCCTGCCTGGGTGCAGACAGGACACAGGAGCAGGCACTTACACATATGTAGTGCACACCCACATAGGTGTGCTGTACACACAGATGCACACATGCTCCCTGCACACAGATGCACAGGCTGCCAGGCCTCTGGGTCCCGGAACACTGCTCAGCACAAGAGTGATCGGGCTGGTAGAGGACAGCAGGTATGTTCCAAGCCCGCCAAGTGTCAGGGCCAATGTGGGAAGCACAGTGCCCTTCTGGGTGGGGGCATGGAATAAATGCTCTGCCTGTAGGCGGCCAGCAGCCGAGGGCCACAGCTTTCCATTCTCCACGGGGTGTAAAGAGTCAGAATTTCCATAGATGGGGACTGTTTTGTGACTCTGCAGCTCTAGCTGTTCAGTCTGAGGGGCTTGCATCCCTCACTGTTGCATTTAATGCAGTTATTGAGCACCTGCTGTATGCTCCTCTGGGCCCAAGCCTCTGGTAGTGTTTAGGAGAGTCCTATATTTGGAAATCTTGATGCCTGCTATGTGGATGGGAAGGCCTTCAGACTATTGAGGGTGAATCCTCAAATTCCCAGGGGCCCTGGGCCCCAGAGAGGGGCTGAGACTAGTAGAGACGGCCCAGGGGAGTCTGTTCTTGCTGGGTCCTGGGAAGGGCTGAATGAGCAGGGGGTGAGAAAGGGGCTGAATGAGAAGACGAGGATGCTGGCTGGGTAGGGTGTTGCCTGGAGAAGGGACCTGGGCACTTTCTTCTTCCCCAGCCTCACCCTCTGTGGGCCACTATCCCAGGCAGGGACCGACCTTTCCGCACACTCTCGGATACATCACATACATACATGGGACAGGAGGCAGCTCCCTTTCGGGAGTAAGAGTAGGGGTTCAATGTTCTCCTAGCTTTGCTGTGTGACCTTGAGCAGGGCTCCACCTGCACTGTGCCCTAGTTTCCATGTCTGACGCAGACTCGCAATCCCTACTTGCCACCTCCACTTGCAGCTCATTTGACGATGGATGGGGGCACGAGAGGAGGGAAGGGGGCTTACCAGAGCTGGACCCATGTGCCCTATTCCCCATCCCTTCAGGCCATGCGGAGCTAGCAAGGATTCTGTGGCTTTCAGGAAATTTGGAGGTTTAGAGTCCTGGCTGGGTTGAGTGGAGAAGTCCGGCCTGTTGTACGTTTGAAGTAGTCACCACAGGGACCTTTCCTAAAGCCGGACTCACTCAAAACAGATTCTGTGCCCAAGAATGGGTTAGCACCTTTATTTGGGAAGAGTGGCTGGAGGGTCCTCATGGAGGGCATCCTTCCGCCCACTTATGGGGGTACGCTGCCCTAATCTCTCACCAGAATCAAGGGATTTTAGGAAAAGGGAAGGAATGTGCCGTGGCTTGCCCTCGAGGCCATCCATGACTCTCTGGGACATTCCAACCCTAAGCCTCTTAGGCCGTGGAGAAGTTCAAACTAGAAAACCCAGTTTTGGAAGTGCATCTGGGACCACCTACCTCCTTCTGTCTGCGTTACCCCCCTTCCAATAAAAGCTCTTGCTTCTTTGAATACAAGCAATTACTGGGTGAGGGGGGAAAAGGGTGCTCAGGTAGGGGCTGGGAGCCATCTCACTGAATTCTTTAGACTTCCAAGGACCCCAGCCTCAGCCTTTCTGTTATTTGGGGTTCCCTGGGCTGTCCTAGGGGGAGACCTGGGATGTCCTCAGTTAGGATGGCCGAGTGGGGTGCCTAAGGGAGCATGCAGCCACTGGCAGGGCTGGCCTCATGGCTCGCCCGAGTCCACTCCCTGGTCTTTCCCTGGTTCCTGAGAATAGCGGAGTGGAGGGGAAGAGAAGACTGGGCAAGCGGCAGAGACTGGTCACACAACTGGGGAGCAGAGGGTCAGCTTATGCTGTTACCATAGCTTCCTCTTCCCAGGAGCGGCTTTTCCCACAGAAGCACACTCTGAGCCTGGCTGGAAGAGCAACAAATTCCGCCTCTGCCTCCTAGAGTGCTGGCAGCCAGGTCTCCATGCCCGCATCCGTGTCTTTTCCTTCCCTGAGCAGAGCTGAAGAGAGGGGAGGGAGCCAGCAAGCCCCCTCCGGTGTTGCCCCTGCTCTCATAGACCCGTATCTTTGGCCAGCTGGAAAGCAACCTGGCCTTCCTCTGGCCCCCGGAACGCTGTCAGAGGCCTCCGGGGTGCCAACGGGACACCCAAGCCTTGGTTTCTCAGAAAAGTGGGCTCGCATATTTTTCGATTCAGGGAATTCCTAAATCGGAAACCTTGGAACCAGGATTCCAGCCTCCTGGAATCCCATTTCTGCGACCCCGGCCGCGAGGCTCTCGCTTTACTGTCGCCGAAACGGCTCAGATTTGGGAGGCTGGTCAATTTCAGAATTCTGAGACCCGGTTCTAGAGAAGCGACTGTGTGCCCCGGAAGCCTGCGTCAACAATCAAACCCCGGAGAAGCCTCGGGAATGTCTTTATTGGATTTTGCGAAGAGCATTTGGGGTTCCTCTCTGGGTAAGGAAAAGCCCGACCCGTGCGGGCGAGGGCAGGCCGCCGTGGGCTGGGGGCGCCTCCGAGCACGGGCGGCGAGACGTCGGGGTCCTCGGCGAAGAGAGCCGGGGCTCCGGCCGATGTCTCTTGGCTTTTCTGAGGCATAGCTGCCCGAAGGAACCAACGAACGAACGAATGAAGCGGTATCGTTTAGGAAAAAATACCCTCTTGACACGAAGCTGCAGCTGAAGTCCCCGGGCGTGCAGAGGGGCCAGCGCTTTCGCTCGTGCTGGGGCCCCCATTCCGGGGCGCAGCCGGGACGGCGGACGGCCCTCTCGCCTACCCTCTCTCCTGGAAGTTCCCGGCGGCCTGCGCTGCCACGAGGGGCTGCGAAGGGCGTGGGGAGCTATGCCCTTGGCAGGGCTGGTGCTCGCGTCCCCGGGGCTGCGGCCCTCTTGGTATGCCCGGGGCCGAAGCGGGGGTGGGCTCACCGGGTAGGCGAGGTAGCGCCCGGCGACGGCAGCTGGGACCGTGCGCTGGGCGCAGGAACGAGCTCCTCGTGCTGCCTCGATGGCGCCTGGCCTTTCCCGGGATGCGCTCAGTAGCGCGCCACCGGCTGGACCTCACAACCGCCTGGAGCCAACAGTGCGGAATCCGCCACCTACTCCCTGTGCCCCAACACCGCGGAGACCCATTGCTGCTAGCCCAGTGACTCTTACCCCACGCGGGTTGCGCTGCGTGCGCGGCTCGTCGGCTCCGGGCTCGCTCGCCACGGACTCTGGCTGAGGTTTCGACTTCGGCTGGGGCCCGGGTTCCAGCTGCGTCTCCGGCTGTGCGCGCAGCTTCGGTCCTCGCTGGTTCGCTACATCGCAGCGCGCAAGGTCGGGGCTGCCTCGGCTCGGCCCGCTCCTCCCGCCGCCGCCGCCGCCGCCGCCGCCGCCCGTCGCCCGCGGGGAAGGCGGGGACACGGGCCGGGGAGGCGGGAAGGGGGGAGGGGAAGCGAGGCGCTCGCCTGGACCAGCGAGGAGGGGCGGCGCGCAGTTCTGCCGACTAGGGGTCCGGGCCTCCCTCGGGGCGCAGGCAGTGGTCCGCGCGGCTCGCCGCGGGTGTCCGGGGCCGGGGAGCGCGCCCCGGGACTGCTCGCGCGGAAGGGGCACCTGGCTGCATGCGGACGAAGCCGCTGAGGGTCCCGGCCTGGCCTCTGCGCACTTTCCCACCTTGCACACGAGGGGTCCAGTCCGATCTCGGTTTAGACGGGCCCTGGTCGGACGTCCGCCTGACGCCAGTTTTAAGATTCGACCTTTCCCCCTTTCTGCTCAGCCTTCGGGAGGAAGCTGGTCTTGCATTTTGTCAGGGAATGTCCGCAGCGCAGTTCTGGGCAGTCAAGGAGGCTTGAGGACAGACCCCAGAGTTTCTGTGTTTATTGGGGGGGGGGTGTTACTGGGGAGGGGCAAACGCTGACCCCTGCCCTGCTTGGAGGACACCCCCAACCTCCTCAGTTCTCCTCCTCCAGGGCTGGGCTGATGAGCATAGAGTAGACCAGCCCTATGGAGCACAGACAGTTCTGCGGCCACTTGTACGGTCGCTCGTCTGCACACGGTCCAGCGATAGCCCTGCGCGGCCCTTGCACAGGGGAAGACTCCATCCATATGCCCCCATTGGCCTCTTCATGGGCCGGACTAATGGGAACTGGGTCCCACCCGTGTTGCGCATGGACAGATAACCCCTCACGAAGCTTTGTGTGTGTGTGTGTGTGGGGGGGGGAACTAATTGGCTCACCAGGCTCCTGCCTTTCCCAAGCCCCTCCAGTCTGAGCCTGCTGCTGCTGGGGCTGTGGTGGTATGGGACAGGGGGTCGGGCGGGTCAGCACATCAGGCAACCACCCCGGGGGACAGGAGCCTCTGAGCCTATCCGTCGACGGCCACCGGGCTCCGGGGCTGCCGCTCTGGCTCAAGGTGCCGGGAGATGGCAGTGCGGCCGCCCGGCATCAATGTTTCATGAGGTGCCGTCACTAGCGGCGCCTCCCTGCCTGCTTCTAGCCGACAGCTGCCGCCGGAGAGGCCACGGCCCCGCGCCCGCTTGCTCTGACGCTCTGCTTGTCGGCGACTCCAAGGCCACCTGGCCAGGGAACGCAGAGACAGGAAACCCTTCCCAACTCCCAAAGCCTACCAGATCCAAGCTTGCAGATGCCTCACGCTCAGGCCCTGAGAAGTGGCCCCTGTCCCCTATCTTGCCATTTGGGGACTCCAAACCTCCCCTCGACTGTCAACAGCAGGAATACCTTTCTGGTGGGCGTGTATGGTTCTGGTGCACACCGGATCATAAGGGTTAAGAGCCAAGTCCCCTACACGCAGGATTTCAGACCAGTTCCTGGGGGTGGCCTGGCAGAAATGCAGTCTCCCAGCTTGGACAATGGACGCTGGGAATTCTAGCTTTTGCTTCTCCACTGCCATGATATTGACTATTTTATGTGTGAAACTGGTTCGCTGGTGGACCTGGCCTTGGAGGCTGCTAAGCTGACACACCTCCGACCTTGTCTTAGGCAGCCTTCCCGCATACCCAAGGGGTCTCTGCATCTTTGGCCATAAATGCAACTGTCGGGCCCTTATTCCGCATGGAGGGTGCAACAGCCATCTATCCGGGGTGAGGGATGGTTTCACTCTGGCGCTGCCCTGAAAAATCAGACCTTCCTACCCCTGCTTTAGCAATTTTGCAGGTTTTGTTCCTAGCAACCACTGGGCACGTGTGTGTGATTCTCCCTGTGTGCTTGTTTCCAGCAGAGCCTGCAGTACCATAAAGGTGCCTCTGAGACCCCAGGGCCAGAGGAGGAATCTTTTCTGCATCTTTTACCATCCTTGTGGCCTTGGGCAAGTAACACAGCCTCTTCTAGCTTCAGCTTTCTTGCCTGTGGAATGAGAATAAGAAGAGTTTTCATTTCATTGAGAAATCCGTGAGATGATGGAGAGGACTGTTGCCCTGTGTGGAAATGGGTGGCTGGGCTGCAAGTTCATGGTGAAACCTGGCACGTTGCTTTGCTCCTTAAAATAGTTTGCTCTCATTTTTGTTTCCTTCTTTGCGGTCTTGTTGTTTGAGTCAGGCAGGAGGAGGCTCCTTCTCCGATTTAGTAGACCTGCGCCTGATACCCTGCTTGGCTTCTAGGAAGTCTCAGACCAGGGAGACTAGGCAGGTGGATGGGGTGGGACCAGGGCCCGAAGTCCTGGACATTCTTGGTGAACTGGGGGTGGGCCAAAGCCTTTTTTTTTTTTTTTTTTTATGATCTTATTTTCACTTCATCCAAAAAGAATTTTTCACAATTTCCCTTTAGGTTGTGACATCTTGGGGCACATACTTTCCATTTCGGAGGCAGAGGGATCAGGCAGTCAGAGAGAGGAAGGCTGGGGCTGGATCGACCGAGAACAGAAGTAACGCAGTCCCTGTACCTGAGTATCACGTTCGCTTTGAGTTTCCAGGTACCTACTCAGAAAAGATAAACAGAACTGCTGCTGCATTTGCTTTCTTTTTCCTTCCAAGCTGATGTACTTCCTCTAATCAAAAGTTTTTCTCCCTAGTACAAAACTGTGACATGAGTTTGTCACATGGGTTCATGTTAAACATAATGGGCAAATGTCTTCAGCCACATTTATGCAGAAAGGGTTACAAATTCTTCAGACAGTTTCTTATCTTAATATCCAGTAAAATAGGGAGAGTGTCTTTTCTCTTTATTGCGATAGTATTGACATCAATATTTGTGTAATGATGGATTAAAACCTGTTGGTCCCACCCCGGTCCTAAGCTCCTTAAGAGCAGGGCTAAGTCTCTCTTGCCAACCATAGGACCCTCCCTAGGGTGGGCAAAGGGGTTTGGTTGTGCTGATTGGCTGGATGCAGCTCACATGCCCACAGCTGAACCAATCGCTTTGTGGGGAAGAGTGGCTCAAGGCCTTGGTTGGCCAGGCTAGGTCACAGGCTCCACCCCAGGAGGGTGGGAGGGGGAGTTCCACCATCTTAAGGAGTACTCACCACTCTACCCCAAGAATACTGGCTGCTGTTCTGGAACAAGTTCTCTGAGCTCCTTGTGGCAGGGAGTGGGTTGGTTTTCAAAGAAGTCCCTGGCCCTGTGAAGGTTCTCAGAGGGGTGCTGATGGTGTTGGTAGGGTGTCCACTGCAACGTGGGAGGGAGGCATTGGCTCTGTTGGGAGAATTTGAAGTCCGTCAAGATTGTTCCTGCGCTCCTCTGTAGAAAGAGTTGGAGGGCTACCAGAAAGTTTGGGGGGAACTCAGAGTCTATTGACCCTTGTATAAGGATGGATATGCAGAGCAAGGCAGGGATCTATTTGTACTCTTTTTCATCTGTGAGGAGAGAGGTAGAGGCTCCAAAGGTAGAGAGGAATGCCTACAATCAGGTAAGATAGAGAGGAACCCCTGCGTTCAGGTATGACATTAATTTATTTGAAAATAATTATATTGTACTCTGAGCATCGTGGCAGCCAAGGCAAGAATAGAAACCACTTGGACATCTTAAGTATTTTCTTTCATTGCAGACCTACCAGCATCTGCATGGAGTAGTGGAAAGAGCCCTGATCTTGGGACCTTCCTGGACTGGCTTCTCTCAGGTCAGCACGTTTAGAGAGCACATGTTCTATGCCTGTGATTGCAGAGGTGCAAAGATGAATGGCTCATGCTTATTTGGGTTGAGCCAAGGAGGCAGACACACCAACCCATAACCGTATTTGAAGCACAGTGCTGGAAAGGAAGTCTATGGCCTGATGCTGAAGGACCCTGAGTGACATACAAGCCTTGAGACGGCCTGCAACAGTTTTTCCACTCCCCGTTCCTCCCTGGAATAGCACGAACGTGGGAAGGCATTGAATGGAGGAAGAGGGAGCTGGAGAATTAAGCAAGAACCAGATACCACCGGGCTTCATAATCCTTGTTAGGCGGGTGGGATGCTATCCTGAGAGAGAAGAGGAGCAGAGGGAAGGTTTAAACAGTGAGAGATCTGGTTGGATCACTGGATCACCATGCTTGGAGAATGGAGGATAGCTTTGAGTTGAGAGAAGAGCAGATTAATTCAGCATCATCACTCAGCTACCCTGTCCATCCTTTTACGTGTCTGTCAGTCCATCCAGCTACCATGGGGCAGGAGGCCACGGTTTGGCCTGGGAGCTGTGAAGGTGAGGCGTTGCGGCCCCTGCCTGCCTGGAGCCATCCCTTAGAGCCCTCATAGCCTCTGCAGGCCTGGTCTGTCTGTCTCATCCTCACAGGCTCTGTGGCCGGGGCCTCCGCAGCACTCCAGATGTCTGCTTGCTGCATGGGGAGACAGGGTGCCCAGGGCCCGAAGGGGCACAGCCGCTACTGCAGACAGACAATCTGGGAAGCCAGCTCAGGGAACAGCGCTGTCGGAAGCTTTTAAAATAATTACCCCTGCCTGCTTTGGCTGACTGGCTGATGGCAGCCTATTAGCCCTGAGTTGGAAATTCTGAATTGTTTCGGGACAATTGAAAACATGATTGGAGGCCAGGAGGAGCTGCCCATGAAATATTGATGTTTCTCGGTGTTGTGGGGCTGCTCCCCCTCAGCTGGGTAACCCTGGGTGCACAGGACTGCTCGCACAGAGCAGCTGCCCCTGGGGCTCCTCAGGCTGACTGCTCTGAGGGGAGACGGGACTGTGTTTTTGTGCAGGGTTGGGAGGGCGGTTTGGGGGCCTGCACCTCTAATGCCTCACTCCAAGCTATGCTCTGCTGCATTCCAGTTTCACGACCGGGGCCCAGCAAGAAAGAACCTGGGGACTCGAGGTGTTCTGTGTGCTCATGTCTGGCCTAGATTCTTCCTGGCACTCAAGGCTCATCTACAGTCACATGGGGTGGGAATCCCAGTTTGGCTCCTTAGCATTGTGAGTCACACTTTCTCAGCCCTTCCGTGGGGGATACTGAGTTCCTGCCTCGCAGGGCTGTGAGGTGTAGGGAAGCCCCGTATACACGCTGGGGCCAGATCAGGGCCAGCTAGGGGAGTCCCTTCAGCCTGGAGGCCCAGGACTTCGTGGCCCTTCTCCTTTGTCGAGTGCTTTGAAGTACTTTGTGTTTTCCCTTCTCTGTAAATTCTAAACCAATAGTGCTGGGAAGGGGAGCGCTGGCCTGACGGGTACCTCTGATAGGTTGAGGTGCCCTGGGGTCTTAGGGAGGGATTCTACATGCCCAGCCCAGGCCTTTGCTCCCAGAGGGGAGGCTCTGTTGTGGCAAAGGAAACTGATGGGTGATGGCTGCCTGGCTTCCTACCCGTAGAACCTGCCCAGGGCACCAGGGTCTCTGTCTTTATGAGCATCTGATTAGCCAGGC